CTGAGATAAATAATAAAATGAAATATTAAAATCATGATGTATCTCGCTGCATTGCGCGAGTACGCTTCTAGTATTTAAAAAGTGGCAAATTGCATGAAAAACTAAGATACTTTAACTTGATTCTTATTTCAGGTAACTTACTCTCAAAACTTTCATTTTGTTACTTAAGATGTAAAGTTTTAAACATTTAAGTACCCAGGTAACCAGTTGAAACATTAACCGGTAATCATTTTGATGTGTCGAGTGGTGAGATGAAATTGGGTTGAATAACAAATAATACTGAGTTAGATACCACATCACTCGTTGCATCAGCATGGTAACCGGTTAACGCTTCAACCCATTATCCGGATACTTAAATGTTTAAAACTTTACGTCTTAGGTACCAAATTGAAAGTTTGAAAGTACGTTACCTAAAATAAGAATCAAGTTAAAGTACGTTATTTTTCCATATAAACTTCATATAAAACAGTTTTTTTTACATGTTTTAATAATAGAGAGTTTGATTATTAAGTCATCTGAATGACTTGTGCATGCTTTCTTCATGTTAAGACATGTTTTTCAGTACCTAAAGTGCATGGCATGATACATGTCTCATTCAGACATAAAGCCATTTGTTTTATGTGCTGTATCATGATCATGAAGCAATGATAACAATTGATGGATGACCATCACTACACTCTTTTCTTTTCTTTCTTAATTTGATTTAGGGATCGTTTATCAAACACTTATCCGATAAGTATCTACCGGTAAAATTTAACACTATCATTTACTTAACCGGTAAGATTTCAGTCCACCAAAACAGCATCGCATGCAACAATTTACCCGGTAAGCACTTAACGTGATGAAGGGGATGTCGAAGATGATGACCAACGTCGACTTGGGACGTCAGATGTTGTATCGGGGATAGTGGGGGTGGAACGGGTGGTAGGTTGGGTGGGGTGCAATAATGATAAAAGGACAAAAGTGTTTTCGTTAGTCAAATAAGAAAGCGGACAGATTGTAAAAAGACCAAAATACCCTTTTATTTAACTGACTTAACAAATTCTTTTTTATTTCACAAGTGAATCAGACTCAATAAGTGCAAAAATGCAAACCACGGGTCCTAAATCCTTATTTATTTTGGTTAAGAGCGGGTAAAAAGTGTAACCACGTGGACCAAATTTGTAATTTACTCTATGTTTTAAGTTTTTAGCAGGAGATTTGTGTTAAGACCATCTGGTCCATTTAGTTCGTAAGGTAGGACCCGTTGTAACTGGTCCCGTAACGAAAACAGAAGGCGTAATTTGTGTTCGAGATAACGGTCCTAGCCACGCCAGGCATGCCCACAACTTCATTGATGTTTAAATGTTAATTGGTTCAATTTGAAAATGATTTATCGTATTTTTGGTATTTGGTATTTTTATTTACAAGTGGTTATTTACAGGTAAAGATCCATAAAAAAGACCAAGCACCAAACCTGAGGGACCAAGCCCGAGCCATAGAGATCGATCAAGTAAAAATTTTGGGGCCCAAAAAAGCCCGACCTAGAAAAACGTGGGAAAGCCTGACTAAGCCTGAAAAAGCCCGATAGGCCCATTTTCCTATCCCAAATCCCGGGGGCCAAGTCCAAATAAAGGTAGGCATGGCAATGAGGCGGGGATGGGGCTCCTCGGCCCGGGCCCCGGTTTGAAGTAACATCCCTCGGCCCTGGTCCCCGGTCAAACATATGTCAAATCCGGGTCAAACACCATAAATAATATCCTTTTATTTGATTCTATCGGGGATCCCTGGCCTTGGGACCCGTTTTAGCGGGGAATCTTCGTCCCCGTTCGGGTCGGATGAATTGGGTTCCCCACCAGGTCGAGACAAATCACCATTATTAAATAAAGGCTTGAGTTGGGCTTAACATATTTGTCGGTTTAACAAACCTAATCAACCAAACTTGATAGTCTGTTTATATCCGACTTAAAAACATGAGGGGTTTGTTGATTGGTTAATGGGCTAAAAAATCTTTTAGATTTATAAAAAATTTATATAGAATAAGTATTACATAATCTATACTATATTATAAAGCATTTGGCTAAAACTCTTAAAAACTCTTAAAATTCTTAAAACTCTTAAACCCGTTCATCCCTAAACGATTTC